GGTGATTATCGTGTGATAGTGTGAGTTATTCGACCAATCAGCGCGCGAGTTTTTTAATAATCACCTGTATATTTTTACTAAATATATATATATATTAATTTTGGTTCTCTTAATTGGGAAAATACTAGAGAATATTGCTGTTAATCACAATAAAAAAGGTTAAAACAACATTCATGTAATTTATAAAAACATCACGGTTTTTGGCGTTTTCCATCAGGAGAATCATTTTGAAGCCATTAATTTTAATGAATCTTCATTTTTACATTAATGCGATAGTTTTTTTTCTTCTTTCTTCCTTACTTCCTTTCTTTCTTTCCTTTTTGATTGGTATACACTTATTTCAATAAAGTTAGTCACCAAAAACCTAGAAAGCTGAGATCACTGAGCATCATGGGAAACTTTTCATATCAAAAAAGTATATACATACAAAGCTTTTTTAATACAAACTGCAGCTCGATGATACTCAGAAGAGGTGAGACTGTAACCGGTAAAAGATTCGCAAGTCCATGAACAGTTATCAAGCGGTTGAACGTGTAAAATGAATCTACCCATAATTCTTGTCGGCCTCAGCTTTAAAGGTTTTCAGGTGACTAACTTTATTGAAATAAGTGTATATAATGTTCCATAAAAACCTATTATTGCGTCTTCCGCCATAATGGTCAAGGGCAGATGAGAAACTACAATTTGTTCGGATAGTCAGTATGGCCTGCTTCTCACAAACGGCTTTAATTCTTCTGCGAAGAGACTTCCAGTCGCCCTTCTGTGTGAGCTGAACTGGTTGATTCTCAGTACGAAGCAGACTAGCTTAATTAACATAGGTGTTGGTGCAGAACAAATCATGCAGAACACAAGCTTATTCCAACAAAGTTTTGCTCATATCGATGAGGTTTATACTTCCATTACAATGCTGACTACTGTGACGTCACCCCAGCTTCTTGAAATATACACATTTTGACTGGTTCATATAAAACGTTTTTTAATTAACAATTATTCGATATTCACTGAGGCTGAGGCAAATAATTGTTTTAGTATAAATACAGAGGTGATTCTTTCAAAAAAAGGGGGGAAAGAAGATAAAAGACATTTTTTCCCGGTAACAGCAACAAAGCGGCTGGCCGCCATTTTGGATTATCGCTGGAGGTGATTATCGTGTGATAATCTGAGTTTCTCGACCAATCAGCGCGCGATATTTTCAATAGGCACCTGTGTATCTTTACTAAAAAAGAATTATAATTATACTCAAGGTTTCCACAATGTTTATTATAAACCTGACCTCTCATGTTGGCTAGTGTTAAATATTCAAACAAATGCACTCAAAAGCCTGAGGGGACGTCACGGCCGATCAGCAACGTAATGGAAATATAAACCTTCATACCTTAAAGAAACAACATTCAAATGAAGGAATATTTCACCATTCAACTATTGACTTCATGTAGAATCAATGCTGAAACTATTGTACATAAGTATTAGACATAAGTAGCTATATCAATTTCTGTTCCAATATACCTCGATTCAGGGGGGAAATGTCCTGTCTATAACGGATAATTTTTTAATGGAGTATCGAAATCATCGATCTGCTGAACTATTTACAAATATCAAATTGATAAGCTAAAAGCGTAAATCTGTTATATTCATGTAAAATTTAACCAATCTAATAAGTAATAAATCTTTATTGTTTTACGAGGGTAGTACCCGCGAGTCTTCTAGCGGCTGGTAAATATTCCATATCAAGCTTTACTCTATATGTTAGTGTCGAAGTTGGAGTAGAGAAAGCTCACTCAATATATGGTATGATCAATTCCATATTTGGATTGTGCGGAAAAGCGGTAAACAAAAAGGCCGTCGTTTTATAACGAATTCGACATGAACATTTTTGAAGAAGAAAATGAAATAATAAAAAAAAGACAAGTAAAAAAAGAAAAACTGTGGAAAATCGAGGAAGGATACGGGGATGATGCTAACTCGTGGGTCTGCCTCGCAGACAACAGACACAGGAAAATACCACACTCAATGTTTGATATGCACCGATAATCACTTAGCCTGAGGGGAATAATTGTTTTAGCATAATTTTAGACTTGAATATCTGAGAAAAGACAAAATTCAGTATAAAAAAATGTTATAGTATTACTTCCGATCTGGCAAACTTTGGAAAGCCTCATAATCACTACTCCAGCGTAGATTATCATCTCAGAATCACCAATCACTCGACCAATCACAGCTGGAGAAACTCTGTATTCAAGTCTAAAATTATACTAATAAATATTAACAATTTCTTAAAGTAAGTTAATTAACTTTAAGGTTCATCGGACCAGGTAAGTGGAAATGCATCATTCTTTTGTGTCCTCTCGTTTGCTATATATATAGAGAGCTGAGTTTAGCGCAAAATTTCCCTTGGCTAGGTCAGTGGAAATGCACCATTCTTTTGTGTCCTCTTGTAACACGAGATTAGCTAGACTCCCTTACATAGATGTAGTAGACGAATAAGTACAGAAAACTTAGTAATAATTGCGTTTGTTCAAACATTCAGATGAAGCGAGAAAGTTTAAGTACCGATTAACATTATTCTCTTGAAGATCAAATTCGTATTTGCATCCTACCTATCTGATCTTGTAAAGCTTCGCCATCCTACCCGCACACTTCGGTCCTCTGCAAAATTCTTATTACAGATCTCTAGCCGTCCAAACGACTATGGCGAAAGGGGATTCTCCTTCGCTGCACCCAAATTCTGGAACTCTTTACCCAAGCATGTCAAGCTAGCCCCGTCCGTCTCATCATTTAACACCGCACTTAAGACTTACCTTTTCCGTTACCATCTGACTCTTGAACATTAGTATTTTTACCTAGATATAGTTCATTTATATTTTCTTAGTTTTGTCGCTTTTTTAGATTTTGCAAGCGCATTGAGATTTTTAAATGCGCTCATCAAGTACGTCCTATTACTATTATTATGTGAATACATATGCTCTTATTGAAAAGCTAGATTAGTTTATTAGCCACTTTTCCATCCCATCCCATTTCATTGCCTTCACTATTTACCTGTCTCAACTGGTAAAAAAAGGAAAAAAATCTTTAGCACTATTTGATGGCTTACCTGTAAAGAAGATGCTATTCGCTTCAAGGTCGCGAGAAAATGATACATATTGAGTCGGCATTTCGCTTTCTCATAGTTACCGACACGGTAGATTGCGGCGGATAGGCAAAACAAAACAGTTTGAGATGCCAAGGTAAAGATTCAATGCTCATCGACGCGTTCGTCTAATATCAATGTCTTTGTTCAAAAGGTCGACAAGTGACCCAAACATCTTATATGACACGAAAACATTTCATCGTTTAAAATGTATAGTTTGTTAATAATGATAAATATGTCGTAATAAAATTTGTTTCAAAAGCTTATTTCTTGAGATATTTGAGAAAATTAAGCCCAATTTGTGACGTCATTTTGTTGACACGTACTCTAGATTCGGTAGAAATGCACTAAATATATATTGTAATTCTTATGAAATAACAACAAAAGGCATATTCTATTCAGCTTCATTTGATAGCTTACG